ACAGTAAAATTATTGTTTTGTATGTTCAACTTATGCTCACACATGAAAATGTTGAATTTTTTGGCTCTCATGAAATGGTGCAGAATTTATTGTCTGTAACAGTGCATTTACCAGGACTACAAAACAAGGTCATTACAAAACATAATTTTTCCCAGTACATTCCACTTCCCTGATTGGGGAGGGGCTAGAATTTCCACATAGGGGAGCTACAGCCCCCCCCCCCCCATACCTGATCCTTGCACTGCCTTTGCCTTGCCCAATTTCTCTTCAAAAGTTTACAAATTATAAATTTGGTGCCGTTGACATGAAGTGCTCCTCAATTTTAAATTTCAAAACTTTCCTCCTGTGCCTATGGTGACTAATTAAACCTTGAAATCTAGCACTATAATTTATAAAAATTATGTCAACTGCATGTAAGAGATTCAGAAGTTAGTTTCCCAGATGTTGACACATTACTTAATACTGAATGCAAGTATACAGCATAAAATTGGGAGGCTCATCACCAGTGTAGCAAAGTTGCAGTATTACTATTAACAATATAATTTGTCAACTTGCATGAAATTTAAAGCAAAACAAGGTGGAAGAACTAACATTTCCAGCTATTATATTAATCACTTTGTCATTATTAAATAGTATTAAAATACAATATGTCATTATTAAATACATTTAATATAAAATACAATATTGTTACATAAATTAAGAGCCTTTGATGAAATTGATATAAAATCAATAAAGTATGTCTATTAAATATAGTATATTATAAAATAATTTATATTTTATAATATACTATATTTAATATAATATTATGTATGGCATGGACCCCTCCTGCATAGTTGCATTGAACAACCACACATACACTCATTCACGATCAGGATTTTCTCATTTCAGTCATTTGTAATTGAAAGATGCAAGACATCACTCACAATTTTTGTAGATTTGTACAATTAACGGTAGAGTCTTTCTCGCATAGCCTTTCGCCTGTCTTTGTTTATACTCTGTATATAATTAAATCTCGTATATAAAACTATAAAATGTCCCTTCGGCTTCGGCGATTTCAATCTTTAAATAATCCAATGTCCAATTTTGTGCAGCTTTTTAATACATTGTGACACAACATCCAATATGTTTTATATTTATAAATAAAATTTCCATTGATAGACAGCAGATTTCAACGACCAAAAGGACTCTTCGTCTTCTTTGAAGAGTTAATACACTCCTATCTACTCCTATAGTCAGCCATATTTATTAGTAAAAGTTCGTGTTCAATTTCCGCATTCCATTGTTATCATGCGACCAATCAAATCACTTTTCGTTTTGGTTTTCGCCAGGGCCTCCGGCAACGCTGTGTCAGCCGTGAGGCC